TTTTCAAGTTCCTTAAAAATGGTGGAGGGTATTAGAAGTTCGGCCCGGACGAACTTAGCTGCTTTTTTACTTGTTAATATATGTGAATTGCTGGTGTTTAGGTACAATTTAGACTTTTGTTTAAAGTTATTTTTTATCCATATTTTAAATAAGTACTTTGGGGTTAAAATTGTCGACCAAAATATTCCCAGCATTTTTTTCTTTTTTTTTCAAGGATTCCGAGGAATCTAAAACCAAAAATGTCCAAAAGTGTGCTAGAGGGAAGAACTTCCCCCTCTATATTGGTATATTTCGATGTAAACTTTCAAAACGCCGATAAAAGGCTCTACTTTTATAATCTGCTATGTTTTCACCGTAATTATTTTTTGTGCCCTACAGTATAATGTAACGAATTGAAACTTTTAATTTTAATATAAACCCACATTTATATACATACATACCTTAAAAATGTGGGCGAACCGCAGTCGTTTATGCGTACACATAAAATTATTAAATATTTTAATAATCTCATAAGTATCTTTTAGTTGGCGTCTTCCGCATATTGGTCAAAAGAATTTTCTTCTTTTTAAACGCCACTAATTAATTCCAATATAAATCATTTTAATAATAACAAGAACAACAACACCAAGAAAACAATACCAAACAGGTGTTGGACACCATGATATCAGACAACAATACCCCCATACGTTCATTTATCTCCACACTCGGCTTTGTGTCCCTTCATCAACGGCCTTTTCATGGTCAGCATAACCACATCTTACGGCTGTATGTAAATATCACCAAACTTTAAGATATTTCTTTTGTTTTTAATCAAAAAATTTTTGATTGATTTTCACTTATTCTCTTTTCGATTGAAATCCAAAGAAAAAACCAGACAAATAAACAAAACAAAAGTATAATCTATAGACTAGGCCCAAAAACCAGTTTTTAACTCCATACCGGCAGACAGCATCACAGAAGTTGGGGGGTTCGTAATGAAGGAAATAAATATTCGGTATTCAAAATTGATATTTAATACAAGTTGCAGATAAATGTTGAAAGTGTGACACCCAGCGCAATAAATGTCAACATTTGTTGTATTTTTATGACAGTTACTTATGTTGATGTTTTTTTTTTTTTTCTTTTGGTGTCGCCAAAGTGACAATATTCAATTTATGCTTGTCCCACGCATTCCAAGCCTACTGGCATTAAATCTTCCTTTCAAAGATTGATCAATATTAATTCTTAGCTTTGACGTTACCGCTAAATTAATTTTTTTATATACTTTCCACCATAGTTGGAGGGTATATTAAGTTCGTCATTCCGCTGGTAACGCCTCAAAATATACAATTCAGACCCCTCAAAGTATATATATTCTATGTCGATTTAGCGATTGCCGTCCGTCTATCCGCCCGTCTATTTTACTTACATGTGTGACTTGTCTGCAGGACTTTTGATACTTTTTAACGGTATCTCCCCATATTCGGTATTTTTCTAATTTTAGCGACATTATTAGTCGGATCTTTTTCAAATCTCGCATTTGAAATTCGTAATGGGTACTACAGCCTATGACAAAAAATAGCATAGCAGGTCCATGTCTTCGTATAGCCCCCATTTAACGGTACCTCCCTATATCCAGTATTTTGATAATTTTAGTGACATTATTCAACGGAATTGTTTCAAATTTCGTATTTGCACTTCAATATGGGTACTATAGCATGTGACAGAAAATTGCCTATGCGAGTCCCCGTCTTCGTATGGAACCCAAAATAACGACAACTCTCTATTTTTGTTATTTTTAAGATTTTAACAGAATTTTTAACGGAATCCATTATTTATTTTTATACCCTACACCACAAGGTGGTCAGGGTATTATGTATTTGTGCATTTGTTTGTAACAGGCAAAAGGAAACGAGATAGACCCATAGTTCCTTTTGATGATCTGCATAGAATCACATTCTGAGTCGATTCCGTCCGTCCGTCCGTCTGTCCATGTATTTTTGTAAACAAAGTACAGGTCGCATTTATTGCCCGATCCAGATGAAATTTTGCACAGATCATTTGTTTGGCCCAAGGACGAACCCTATTGAAATTGAAATTCCCATATATATCTTCGTCCGATTTGCCTTTTATTGTGCACCAAACGTGTAATATCAGCCCGAATTGTATGGAATTTTGCATATACACCCAAATTAGGCCTGAAAATATGTATGCCAAATTGAAATCGGTTCAGATATAGATATAGCTCCCATATATATTGTTTATCCGATTTTTTATTTTTGTCCACCGCCGCCGTAATATGCACTCTACTACAACAATATTTGGAGAAATATATCAAATACAGCTCAGAAATACATTTGCTAAATTTTATCGAGATCGGTTCAGATTTGGATAAAGCTCCCATATATAAATTCGTCCGATTTACCTTTTATTGTGCACCAAACGTCTAATATTTGTCCAAATGGGATGGAATTTGGCACATACGACCGAATTGAGTCTAGAAGGTAGTATGCCAAATTTGGTGAAGATCGGTTCAGATATAGCTATAGCTTCCATATATATTATTCATCCGATCTGTTATATTTGTTACCCACAACCGTAGTATGCACTCCGTAACAACGATATTCAGGGAAATATATCAAATACAGCTCAGAAATATCTTTGCCAAATTTTATCGAAATCGGTTCCGATTTTGATATAGATCCCATATATATCTTTATCCGATTTCAAATTAATTGTGCACCAAATGGGCAATACAATTCCGAATTTAAAAGATACAAATGCTTCGGCATATTTAAATTATAATTATAATCATAGCGTGTATGATTGAATTCTCCCATAAAAACTTTTAATTGTTATGTGGAGCTCTACCAAATTAGCAAAGTGGTGTAGGGTATCATAAAGTCGGCCCCGCCCGACTTTAAGACTTTCTTTACTGGTTTATTATCATTTTTGTTTTTTGAAAATTTCAAAATTCATTCCAAATGGTGGAGGGTATTCCAAAATTCCAGAAAAAGTAATTCGTGAAGGAATTCAAGCGTGATAGTGTGATTTCTTTATATTTTTGGCTGGAAAACCACAAGTGGCTATCGTTAGAGCGCTCCAGCATTTAAATGTGAATAAATCTTTTGTGTCTCGTACCATCGCTCCTTGAATGTGATACTGGTAGCGTAGTCCGACGTCAAGGAAGTGGACGGGAGAAAACAGCAAAATCAGCAGAAATTGTTCGAAAAGTAAAGAAGCGACTTGATCGAAACCCGAGTCGCAGTGGCCAAAAAATGGCTCGTGAGCTGAACATATCGCAATATTCCATTCGCTCGGGGTAAAGCTATTAAAATTCCAAAAAGTGCAAGAACTTACACCGCAACAGAAAGAAAATATACTCAAAAGAGCTAAAAAGTTACTTTGCTTGGCCGAAAGTGGTGAACTGACGAATTTGGTTTTCTCCGATGAGAAAACATTCGTTGTTCTTGTAAACAAACAAAATGATCGCGTTTACTTGCCAAAGAGGTCAGCTGAAAATATGCACCTTCGGTTGGCCACCAGAATTCAAGCGCCGGTGATGGTGTGGGCCGCCATAACAACCGATGGTCGCTCTACGCTCGTATTAATCGACCTTGGCATCAGAATAAAGCCGAATATTATCGCGAATATATTTTGAAGGGTGTTAAAAAATCGGCAAACATTTTGGCCGCAGACCTTAGATATTCCAACAGGACTCAGCACCATTGCACTCAGCACGCGCCACCCAAGAATGGTTCAAGGAATCAGGTTCCTCGCTTCATTTCCAACGCACAATAACCACCAAAATCTTCGGATACCAATCCGTTGAACTATTGTGTCTGAAATATTTTGGAAAGCAAGGTTGGCACTAAACAATACCAAAGTGTCAAATGGGTCAAAATAGCGCAGAGCAACATTCGAGCAGCGTGTGACGGTTCCATTGGCGGTTTGAAGGCCATAATTCGTGCGAAAGGTGATCAATTCGAGCAAATCTAAACTTATTCTAAAATTTGATGCAATTTCCGACATTTTTTGCTTTCATTCAATAAAATTTTAAAAATAAATGTAAAAATGATGGCGTTTGACTTTGTTGCAGTTTTTCTATCTCACCCTGTACATTATTAACCGACTTTTAAAGGCAGATCTATATTGAAAATATTTCGCGACATACCAAACAGTTACAGTCATTCTGATGTGAGAGTTCAAACCTTGGGCGTAGAAATAGATTGATTAAAACGCTACACTGATAGCGTGCAACACGATTTATCGGAGATATATTTCAACAGTATCCAAATAATTTCGATTAAAAGACAATTGTGGTAACTTCTCGTCGATGTATATTCCAAGTATTTACACTTAGCCAATTGACTATAAACTTTAATGTCTGGAATAGTTCACTGTTATTTAGAATACTTTAAAAATCACCATAAACAACACTTTTGGATGACAGATATCGAAGAGGTTGACAGACACTTGAACATGACACACAGGCAATACTTGAACATGGAATTCATGTATTTTGGGCCTATAAGCATGTATGTATGTAGCTACATACATATATATTTTTAAACACAACATTCGTGGTTCTTCCATTTAAATATTACTTTTTTTATTTTTTGCGGAAATCTCGAACGTGATGTCTGAATGAAATTTTAAAAATAAACAAATAAAATCATGTTTCACCGAAGATTTATTGATATAGATTTATTTAAAATTCTTAAAAGCAAATTTTCACTTCGTTTTTTTCAATTCCACAATTTTTTAAAATTGTAAACGTATTGGCATAGATCAGGTTTAAAGGCGCACACTTTTAAAATTTTTGCACAATTACTTTTTTATTTTTTCCATTAAACCTGTTTGTTTGCCATTTTTGTACATTTGATTTTTTTTGTGGCCTTACAATTGTTAAATTAAACTTTCATTATAAAAACCACAACAACAAATACGCATGTCAACCCACACTTTGAACGGCGGATGATGGTTTCAAATTTTGTGCCAAATATGGAACTTTAAATCACCTCTATTTTTTCAATTTGCTCGATTTTAATTTTTATTTCACTTGATCGCAACAATTTTATTTTCGGGTTTGTTGTTTTTGTTTTAATGAACGTTGAACGCTGAACGTTGTAAAGGCCAAAACGCGCGAGACGAACACACACACAAACACACAGCGAGAGTGAAAAAATAAGACCGATCAAAACAACCACATGTTCGCGCCTCTTAGCCTAGACTAAAGTCGGGCTTTGTAACAAAATTCATGCTGTTGGAAAATTCTGATGTTGGCAACAGGTTTTATGTTCGTTAACACACATGTTCGATGTTGCTGTTGCATTGGAATGTTTTTGTTTGCACACAAAGTTGGGCCTACGACATATATTACTTAGTATGTACGTATTTATGGGGAGTAACAATTGTTTTTTTTTTAAACTTGGTTTATTTATTTCTGTTAATAGTTTTGTGGCGACCAAGCGTTTAATGTTGATGACAACAAATACGGGTGGATATTAATAATGATTAAATTTTAATAACGTTCATCATCCGCTATCCTTCCAATTTTAACTCCGACTCCAAAAATGACTTTCAGACCCCTCATACTTCTAATTGGGCAACAACATTAGCCTGAGTGATATTTAAACTGAAGTTGAGAATACAGAAAACGCTTTTCTGACTGGCTTAAGTCATCGACTGGCTTCTTCGGAAAAGAACAATGGGACGTAAGGTCAAAATCGAACTAAGTCCACCTGAAACTACTTTGTTGCTCTATGAAGAAGCCAGCCGATTACTTAAGCCAGTCGAAAAAACATTTTATGTACTCTCACCTGAACTCCATGTCCAGTAAAAATTTAAAAGCTATATGAGCCGAATAACACATTGTCATATAATGTTAAAAAAATTAATTTTGGCATTACCAATAGATTGAAAATAATGGGTTATTCCACAATATAATTGCAAGGTGCTTTATTTTCCTCCAATCGCTAATCTGAATAAACACTTTTTACACCCTCAGCTATATTGTTACAGAGGATGTATATATTTTGATACGACCGCCCGTCTGTCTGTCTGGCTTGTGGGTAATATTATAATATTATTGTCAAACTTAAATCGAGTTCGTCCACTACTTCTGGTAACTCACCCACAAAAGGTCGAAATTTTCACAGAAAATAATATAAAGAGTGATTTGTTAAGAGCTTGATAACTTTAAAAAAAAAAAACGCATAAAATTTGCAAAATCTCATCGGTTCTTTATTTGAAACGTTAGATTTGTCCATGACATTTACTTTTTGAAGATAATTTCATTTAAATGTTGACCGCGGCTGCGTCTTAGGTGGTCCATTCGGAAAGTCCAATTTTGGGCAACTTTTTCGAGCAATTCGGCCGGAATAGCCCGAATTTCTTCGGAAATGTTGTCTTCCAAAGCTGGAATAGTTGCTGGCTTATTTCTGTAGACTTTAGACTTGACGTAGCCCCACAAAAAATAGTCTAAAGGCGTCAAATCGCATGATCTTGGTGGCCAACTTACCGGTCCATTTCTTGAGATGAATTGTTCTCCGAAGTTTTCCCTCAAAATGGCCATAGAATCGCGAGCTGTGTGGCATGTAGCGCCATCTTGTTGAAACCACATGTCAACCAAGTTCAGTTCTTCCATTTTTGGCAACAAAAAGTTTGTTAGCATCGAACGATAGCGATCGCCATTCACCGTAACGTTGCGTCCAACAGCATCTTTGAAAAAATACGGTCCAATGATTCCACCAGCGTACAAACCACACCAAACAGTGCATTTTTCGGGATGCATGGGCAGTTCTTGAACGGCTTCTGGTTGCTCTTCACTCCAAATGCGGCAATTTTGCTTATTTACGTAGCCATTCAACCAGAAATGAGCCTCATCGCTGAACAAACTTTTCTAGGGCCCATTCACTGACTGACGTTGTGGCAGATCGTTCGGCTTCAGTTCTTGCACGAGCTGTATTTTATACGGTTTTACACCAAGATCTTTGCGTAAAATCTTCCATGTGGTCGAATAACACAAACCCAATTGCTGCGAACGGCGACGAATCGACATTTCACGGTCTTCAGCAACACTCTCAGAAACAGACGCAATATTCTCTTCTGTACGCACTGTACGCATTCGTGTGGTTGGTTTAATGTCCAATAAAGTAAACTGAGTGCGAAACTTGGTCACAATCGCATTAATTGTTTGCTCACTTGGTCGATTATGTAGACCATAAATCGGACGTAAAGCGTGAAACACATTTCGAACCGAACACTGATGTTGGTAATAAAATTCAATGATTTGCAAGCGTTTCTCGTTAGTAAGTCTATTCATGATGAAATGTCAAAGCATACTGAGCATCTTTCTCTTTGACACCATGTCTGAAATCCCACGTGATCTGTCAAATACTAATGCATGAAAATCCTAACCTCAAAAAACTCACCCTTTATCTTATGGAGCAATAAAAATATTATTTCTATCAATGCTATGCCAGGTGCGGAAAAGGACAATATCCGTTTGTTCCGTCATGTACCACCCACACAAAGGGTCAACGCTTTGAATAATCATAACTCTTATAAAATGCGTAATAAGCATCCGATTCCCTGTATATTTCGCACATCTCAATATTTCTACTAAAACAAGATCTGGTGTGACAATGGAATACATCAGCTCCGTCCTTTTGGTACCTCCTCAACAAAATGGTCAAATAGAGGGTTGAAAGTCAAAACGCTCAAAAATGCCAAAAAGCATCCGGTTATTTTCAAACTTGGTACATCCCAATTTTTCTATCAATATAAGACTAGACGTGAAGAAAGAATTTGCCGGACTACCCCTTTCTGATACCTCCCCAAAAACGGTTCAACATTTTCAATACGTATATATTTTATGAAATGTAAAACAAGCACAAAATTATCTTCAAATTTCGCACATCTCAAAATTTCTTTTAACTCAAGGTATGGTCTGAAGATGATGGCTATCGGTCTACCCCTTCTGGTACCTCCCCCACAAAGGATCGCAATTATCAATATTTATATCTTTCATAACTTGCGAAACAAGTCAGCGATTTTATTCAAATCTCTCAACCAGAGATCTGATCTGAAAATGAAACTTATCGGCCCACTTATTCTCCCCCACAACAAGTTAACATTTTGATTATCATTTATTAAATTCTGGACATCTCAATATTATTATCAGTATTAGATGAAGTGGAATACTTCTGTCCACCATATCTAGTACATCACGCATATTTCCAAAATTTATCACATATCTCATATAAAGTGAAGAAAGTAGTTGACATGTCTCCAAATCCGTCACGTTGTAATATTTATATCATACTTGTATTAGATACGAAGTGGACACTATTGGCCAATACCTTCGGAACCGGCTTAACATTTTGAATAATTATAATGGATGTCAGAACATATTTAAATAAACGGACAATAGCTGAGACTATACATCTGTCGGCAAAACTAATACTTTTTTTAACCATAACCACATGACTGAGGAGCCATGTGGTTATGGTTAAGGCTAATTATGATTGGAGAGTTTGATGCGGCCAAAACGTGCCTCATCGAAATAACGGGTTTAGACCCTAGGTATCTTTGGACCAAAGCCGTTTCAGGACATTTAGAGTCCATCCGTCCGTCCGTCTGTCTGTCTGGTTGGTGCGCACGATAACTCTCGAAGGGACTAGTGCCGATTTGGTCCAAACTTGGCACTTCGTAATATAATTATCAAACTTAGTTCGAGTTCGGAGATGGGCAATATTGGTCAACTCCTTCTGGTACCTTCCCCACAAAAGGTCAAAACTTTCAAAGAAAATATTTTACTGCACAGAAAGGGAAAATATGATCCGAATTTGCTCAAACTTTGCAAATACTAATATTTGCATCATTGCTAGGTCAGGTGCGAAAATAGACAATATATGTCCAACCATCACCATATTTTTATTAACCCAAGATCTGGTGTAAAGATGGTATATATCGCTCCACTCCTTCTGGTACCCTCCCCACAAACGGTCAAAATTTTAAATAACCAAGAAACTCATAAAACGCGTAATTAATATCCGATTCCATTCGGTCACACATCTCAATATTTTTATAAACACAAGGTCGCTTAAATATAAAGATGGTAGAGATCGGACCATTTCTTCTTGTACCTCCCCCACACAGTCTAGCGATGTCCGTCTGTCTGTTGTAATCACGCTATCTTTCGAACGAATTGAGGTAGAAGGCTAAAATTTTGCATACATGCTTAGTTTACCAGTAGGCAGATTGGGTTCGTAAGGCCACTATGTCGGTCCACGTTTTCGTATTGCCCCCCATAACGGTCAACCCGATATTTGGTATTTTCATGATTTTAGCGACATTACTTACCGGAATTATTTTAAATTTCGTATTTTAAGTTCGTAATGGGTGCTACAGGCTATGACAATAATTTGTGTATTCAGGTACACGTCTTCGTATAGCCCCCATATGACGATACCTCCCAATACACGGTATTTTTTTGATTTGTGCGAACTTATTCACTGGGTACTACAGCCTATGACAAAAAAATTCCTATGGAAGTTCTGATTTCGTACATACCCTATATAACGTACATCTCGATATTCGGTATTATGATGATTTTAGCGACATTATTCACCGGAATTGTTTCAAATTTGGTATTTGAAGTGCGTAATGGGTACCACAGCCTATGACAAAAAAAAAATTCGTAAGCAGGTCCACGTCTTCGTATAGTCTCCATATAACAGTTTTCAAGTTCCTTCCAAATGGTGGAGGATATTAAAAGTTCGGTCCGGCCGAACTTAGCTGCTTTTTTTACTTGTTTCTACTTATACAGGATCTGCTATGAAGATGGGATATATCAGCACACTCCTTCTGGTACCTCCTCCACAAGCGACACAACATTTTGAAAAACAAAACGCTCATAAAACTTGCAACAAGCATCCAACTCTCTTCAAATTTCACACATCTTAACATTTTTACTAACGCTAGATCTGTTGTGAAGATGATAGATATCTGCTACCCCTTCTGGTACCTCACCCACAAAGGGTCATAATTTTCAATACTTATATATGTCATAACTTGCGAAACAAGACAGCCATTCTTTACAGCTTGCTATATCTTAATATTTCCCTCAACCAGAAACCTGAGATGAATATGGAATTTATGATTTCGCATAAAATTGGATATAAATGTTCGATTTTCTTGATATTTTGCCCATA